AGCAAACATGGTCACTTGCGCGTGGATTAGATTTGAATGACCGTAAACTTAGGCTGCTCCAACGGCACCTACTCTTTCATTACCTATTCATGTGCGATGTCAAGTGAGAATGTGTAAGGTGTGAGGAGGGATCGGGTGCAGGTTGAAAGCATGAAAATATGCGCACTCAAGCCTACCATCAAGCTCCCTTATCCGTATTAAACACTAAAATTAGATTTAAACACACCAACCAAGGGATAGAAGGGACTTCAAGGATCCTCACCATCAAAGTCTAATGCTATACCACTTGGTCACAGCTTACATTTTTCCAGAGTTTGCAAATATTAAAAAGGCTGGTGTACAGACCTCATGTGAATCTTTGTGGAGAAGAGCCCAGAAAGGCGCTTCTCACTTAGATCATACAAGCCGGGAATGAATGGCTACAGGGCAGTAACTAAGCACTGTTTTCAACCTTTTAAAGAAAAAAAACATGTTGGATAATATTTTTACGATCGGTTAATGCAACCAGTTGCTAGGCCCTATCCACTTAAAAATAGTGTCCCAAAAAAATAATACACATTCTACATAATCGTAAAATTGGAGTTTATTATAATAGCTTCATTAAAAAAATTTAACAATATTTAAAAATATCATTTTATTGTTTGCTTATCACGAGATGTTGTAACGCTGACGTCCATTTTCATCATGACACTCCTGACAACGCGAACAAACGGAATCACACACACAATGAAACAATTTCCTTGGTTTTTGGGGTACATTCCTCCTCAATGGCGTCTTTCAATTCAGCAAATGTCACAATAGTCAAAATGCAGTGTAAAACAATGAAATGATACTGGTAAAACGTCTGCATTTTTGAAATAATCCAATTTTGAGAAAAGCCAAGTGTACAATAATTTTAAATTTATATGCATTTTGGGACACGCTGTAGTTCCGTTTGAAAGGTTCAACAACTCGGTTTGTTTGTACTCTCTGAAATGCACTACGGTTTTGCTTAGTGAACAGCTGTCAGACTCTGACAAATTGCTAAATATTCGTTTTCCACCCTAATTGAAGCCGTTATTATGCCCCCGCATTTGAACTTAAATGTGCTGTCAATTTCGTCGTGGAGCTGTGTATAAAACTTGTATTTTATTGTTATTTCGGCCCCTGTACT